GCCTTGGAGTGAGTTCACCTGACGCTACCCTCAGGTGATCTCTGCTGAGGGGACTTTACTACGGGCCATACAAAGGCCAATTAGTCCAAACACTGATTTCGCCCACAGCAAAACGAAATGAACAACCAACTGACCCCAATTTCATAGCAAAATTTGCTCTTAACTACTTGGAATGCTACGGTTCTCATAATCACATTTGGCACACACACTTACAGATAAACTACGCGTTTTAGCCTAAAGTCATGATCCTTATTTAGGCGTTGTCAGAAGGGTAGTGAAAGCCTCTTCAAAGGTACGCGAAACACTGGTTGTCCCATGAACGAGAATTTCCAGTAAATTTAACACAACAAAGAGATATGATCTAACCATTTATTATTCCCCATGTGAGAGATCTGAAAGGATTGCATTTCACGTCGATGTAAATATTCCTTCTTCGTCGACGTCTTTGCAGCAATGCAGCCTATTTATCGCGCGTAAAGGGAAACTATGAAATTCATAACAGCGATGAATTTGAGCTTAACAGATGAAAATGCGAATATGTCGTTATCAGGTTGTTTTATGACGATGAGGAAAGGCTTTATGCAAATGATTGAGGCATGGGTAAAAAAGTAAATTTTCGAGAAGTATGAGTAGTTCTACAGTATTCAGAATTACCTGCAAAACATTTTTGATTACTATTTTATATTGGTCTCTGCTATATGTGTTGAGTTAAAGTCTGTGTTGAGTTTGAGTTTCTCTAAAGCTGTTTATTATTACTTGTCATGGGTAGATATTCAAAATTTCAGAGATTCAAACAAAATGGACCGACTCAGAAAATGGGAATTAGCAACTTTAGACCACAAAAATATGCTGTTACAGGACAAATTTTGATTAACCAACCTATTTCTAGCATCAGAGTAAGGATTTACTGAGTTTTTCCGTAGCGTGCATTTCCTGCACTTTTTTCGCTCATCTAACACCTAAAAATAGCTAATCAGGATATTATATAGAAAATGTTTATCACTGCCTAGGCTATGATAGTTCACTTATTATGAATCCTTAACACGTTTACTTGAAATTGTACTATTATTTTAAAATGAGGTCACGTGTTTCACTCTACAGGTCCTCTATAAAATAACGTTGTTTTGCAACGCAATTTTGTTGCCGATCGCTCTTCTTTATTTTCGACAGCACTCCGGAAGTTTTCACAATATTTTCTACATAATTTTCCAAACATTTTTAAAAAGCTGTAAACTCATTAGAAAAGTGGAGCAAAAACCTTTTTATTGATAGCTTTATACAAGAAGACTTTCAACCAACCTTCATCCACATGCATAGCATGTGAATCAATTTCCTCAGGATTGCACCAGAATTTATAGGGTCATGGATTTGTAAAGTTGCGCTTTCTGGCTATTGTGAACAAGCTGTTTTCTAACACGTTTCTTGGAATAGTTTCATGAATGGAGGATTCAAGGTGCGGAGTGCGTGCATAAAAATGTTTTTGAAGTTTGCTTCGCAATACCATTTTACGCTACAATGAATTATGCGACTTTGCACTTGCGTGTTAATACCCGTCCCTGATATATGCATCCGTACGCAGTGCAAAGAAAATTCCCACTCTGCTCTTCTTTTAATCCATAGAAAGACGCGACTTCAACAATGCGTCAAGAGCGTAGCTATAAGAGATGTGCTGATATCAATTTAGATGCCAGCATTAGCAAGTAAGAACTTGTATAATATAACTATGGCGAGAACTTTAGAATTTAAGCATCACTTCATCTGCTATTTAGACGAGTTAGCATAAAGTCGCTCCTACATACACTTTATCGCCCGCGAATGAAACGTATTGCATATACACTAAATAAATATGTAGTATCGTGATAACGTGTATGTATATATCTGTAAATGCGTATGTGTTGTTGCGTGGGTTTATGCATCTAGACGCAAATACTGTAGAATGATGTAAAGAAAGATATGAGCATTATTTCATTCTCCAGTTTATCTGGGCTGCGTTCGTCCTGGCCGTTGGTTCTTTTTGGAGTCCTTCTTCGCCAGACATGCGACTTCCTAGGTACTTGAAATTGCTCGTCTTCTTAACTGGCTCATCATCGATATACTCTGTCTTCTTTGTGTTGAGCTTTAAGCCTACGACTTAAACTACTACTACCCTAATCGGTCCTTCATCTCCGTACTTTTTCTTCAAGTTCTTTTCTGTTTTCTGCCTTCAACACCATTTGCATACAGGAGAGCCTATAGAGGCTGCCACTTGAGACTTTCCGTCGCTGCGTCCTGACCGTCATAAAGAGTAAAGGAGAAAGCACCGATCCTTGATGTATGCAGGTTATTATGCGGAATGGTTTTGACAGTCCTGCCGCAGTTTGCACATGGCTCGTGGCTCCGTGACAGGTCACTTTTATCCAATGGATGTATACTTCTCGAACTCGCAGCGCCCACCATAGACATCATGGGGTATCTTGTCGAAATCTTTTTCCATATACACAAAAACTGTATGTAGCTCTCTTTGTTTTTCTCTACGCTTCTTCATTACTATCTGTACATACATGGACTTCTCCATTACTATCCGTACATACGTGGCGTCAGCAGTACCGGCATCTTTCTCAAATCCGCAATGAATGGACGACAACATTCAAAGATTCTCAGAATACGGCTATTACCAGATTGGCCGATATATTGAACAGTTTGCGATATCGCCTTTACTCTTCCATATCGGAATCGTTGTGCTCGCTGGGCAGTCATGGCGCATACTCTTAGCTGTGGTGCACCGAGCCATCCGCATTCTTTTCAGAACGCTTGGTATGTCCTCTGGACCGCCAGCCTTGCCGTTCTTTGTTATTGCAAACCATACCTTCTCTGTGGTTATGAGCGGCACTGATCCTATCACGGTCAGCTACTGGGATGGCTGTATTAGCGGACGACATTTCTTCAAAGTACGTTCGCCATCTCTCATTTATCTCCTGTGATCTCCCCAACGTTTTTCCAAGCTCGCTTTGATACGGCAGAAGTCTTTGATATTGTTGTAGGACTGTATCTAGTTATATTGTAACTTGTTTCTCTATATTTTCCCAGTGCTATACGTGATACTCAAGATACGCCACTGCTGTCCTATGTTATTCCATAGGTTCTACTTGAACAAATGTGTAATACAATGTGTATAGGCAATTGTATAGGAGGACTCTCAGCATTTTTTTACATAAACAGTTCACCGTCAAGGCTTTTCACAACAACTGGCGATCTGGATCGAGATCAGAAGAAGCCTCCACCGATCAAGGACGAACAAAAAGCCTCCTCCAGCCTCCAAGAAAGAAGAAAGACGCCGTCGCCGCCAATCAATCCAACCAGTCAGCGGTAGTCATGATTCTCAGCTAGAGGAGATCCTGACGGTCATGGTCGAGCAGGGCGTCTCCAAAGAATGAATATGCAGCACGACGAAATGAAGTCAATGTTCGCCACCCTTAGCCGCAGTCAAGGCGGTACCGTCCACGACGCCAGCAAAGATCAACACGATCAGCTGAGCAGGGACGTGCCAAAATTTGTCTCAGACGAAGAGTTCGCCTACTGGTTTGACAGGTACGGACAGCTATACGCACCGCTTTGTTGCCGGACAACAAGAAACGCGATCTGATTCTCAGGAAGTTGGATGAGGATGCATATCAGAAGTATGCAGATGGGTGCTGCCTATGCAGCTACATGAATTGGATTTCGATACAACGTTTGCAAATCTCCAGAAGCTGTTCTCCTCTAAGAAGACATTGAAAATGAGAAGATACGAGTGCCTTAAGGTTACTTGTCCGCCGCTGACACAAAGGACACGCTGTTTCGGGAGTACGCCTACCCAATCAAGAAAACGGACGAGGACGCGCGGTTTAAGGAAGTCGACTATACGGCGATGAAGACGTTGCAATTGCGGGTCTTCAGGATCCCACACTGCGGGAATTTTGCCTTAGGATGATTCGCCGTTTGGACTCACATGCGGAGGACACTCCACTGACAATTGAAGATTTAGTTAACGAACTTAAAAATTTTACCACGTTGAAAATGGACAAGACCGACATGGAAGGAATACACAACATCCATGCTGTGTGGAAAAAAAGTGAAATGCTTCAACTACGGAGGTCCACATTTCAGAAGCAAATGCCCTCTCCGCCCCCTCTGGTCAGAAGAGGCGACGCAGAACAGAGACTCAGCCCTATCGCAGAAGACAGTGCAGAAACGTTATCGTTTGACGCCGTGGATGCAAAGATCCATCTCGACGTCGTTATCAAGGGTATGATGGTTAAATTTTCTCCGACTAGGATTAGAGTGGTGCATCCAGTTGCCGACCTACAAGGAGTTGAAGAGCAAGTACCATTGCCGGAAGGTAACCCGAGAGAAGAGTTTTGAGCGGAGGTAGTCGCAGACTAGAACAGTATGTCGAGGTCTCCAAGTGTGAACGGTAAAATGCACAAAAAGCAAAGCAAAACTTTTCTAGGAGGAGCATGCAGTTTCACTCTTCAAGAAAAAGCGACCAGTTGCATACGCAACTGCATCAGAAGGAGGCCGAAATCGATATTAGTCGCTGAGGGGTGATTTGGCACTCAGAATGGGCCGCGGCTAGTTGTCGTCAAAAAGAAAAACGGAAAGGTCCGTTCACCTGCGGACTTCTTAATAAGATTAAACGATGCATTGCAGCTGCATCAGCACCTTTGTTTACCGCTGATTTCACAAGATTTTAAGCTAAATGAAAGACAACTCTTCACGCAGATTGACGTGGCAAGCGTATCTACAAGTGAAAGTAGAAGAAGCGTCAAAAGAGATGCTGACATTATATACACACAAAGGATTGTATCGTTACAATCACCTACCTTTGGGAGTCTTGGCACCGGGTATTTTCCAGCAAACCATGAATTCCATGATAAGTGGGCTGGAAGGCGTAGCTGCATACCTTGATGATATTACCCTTATCGGATAGACTTATGAGCTACATCGCAGAAATTTGGATGTTTTACTCAAAAGGATCAAGGAGTACGGCTTTTAAGTCCACCTAGGAAATCGTAAGTTTTGGGTGGCGTGCGTTAGATACCCGGCGCTCTCTTGGGCGAGAGCGTGCTAGACAGTTGGATCCGCGGTTATCGATGAGATCCAGCGCGATCGAGTTTGACGCCGAGCGCATTTCAGGTCCCGCCTGCTTCCTGCTCTTACGACGGCTACGTCATATTGCGGCCGTTATCTCAGCGCCGCCGAGCTGTAATTTGGCGCCTCGCCGTCGAAAACCTAATTATATTAAGCCCCAAACATGGTATATAGATTAGAAATAGATGTGTCAATGTTCTTAGCATCATAATAAGAAAATCAATAGTATTTCTCCGCCGACAAGCAATTGTTGGCAGTATAAATGTCATATTATTATTTTGAAGCAATCCACCCTCAGGCGATGTGAATACCTAGCCGCTCCGCATAATAATACCTTGCCACATTTCAGTTCTACACTATCATTCATTGTACTGTTTTGCTTTTGAATTTCATCATCGGCAACATTGTCAAGACAATTTACCGGTAGCTAGTGGGAGTTTTGAGAACTTAAACGGATGAATTCTTTTGCATTTCGCATTTGTTGCATATATTTATGTTGAGGTTCATGCAGCTTTTACCGTTCTATAGCTAACTATAATTTGCTTAATTAAAATAGATAATCCTGCTTCGGGAAAACAAAACTGTGCCAATTTGCCCTCTGATTGCAAAATGAATAATAATTGTGCATTCGCTTCCCATACTTTTAAACTAATCCTATTTTGCTTCAATTCGGATTATTCCTATCTAATTAGGAGCTAGTGTGTGGGTTGCCTCAAAATAATTGACCTTTATGCCGCCTACAATTGATTGTTGGCGTACTATTGATCTTCTTATTATGGTGCTAAGACATTGACACATCTATCTCTAATCTATATGTCATGTTTGGGGCTTCATTCGCAGTGTAATTAAGTTTTTTT